ATCTAGAAACATCCTGTCATCACATATTGCACCTGCAAGGGTTAATCACCAAATGGAAGGGTACTTCAAGCAAGGATCAGAAAGCCACGACTGCTGGGCTTTAATCCCCCACCTTGCTACCAATTTTCTCCATGGCCTTTGGTAAACACAATCTCACTGTGAAAGTTTATGCATCTACAAAAAAATGGGGTATATTTAGCTTTACGACCCTAAAGATGTAACTGCAAGACTATGTTCACAATGCCATATAAAATGCGCTTTAAAAGATTTCAAAAAAAAAAAACTCACTGACCAACCTTAGTTGTTCACAGATCACCAATTGTTTAAAACTAAATTTCAACATTTTTGTTGGTTTTATTTCTAGAATCAAAATTACTTTTTATTTCTACTTATTACAAAATATTTCCTGCATACTCCACAGATGAGCAGATTTGTTTATATATACAAATGCGGTATTAAAGACTTGACTAAGACTACCACTTAATTTCACAAAGGACGTGTGGAAAAAAAAAAACCACCACCAATAAAAACACCACCCATAGTAGCAGTAAGTTTCCTTCAGTAAAAAACTCATTTTTATCAACAACTTGAGAGTAGAAATAAGAAATATCCTACACGAGGCACTCTTCAGGAGTCTATGCTATACGAACCAACATCATTACTGAGGCAGAGAACTTGGTCTACAAACACGGCAATCCTTATTTTACAAAAATCTGGACCTCAGATAAATTTAAGGATCAAATTTAATGCCTGTATAGCTGGGATTTACAAGTGTGTTATTTTGTAACTTCTCTTTGAAGATGAGTCTTGCTCATCTCAAGTTGCCAAGTTTCACATATTTCACATCTTACAAACTCAGTCTGGCTGAAAAAAAATAATGAAGTAATGCTCTGTGCATGCAAAAGGATTAAAATTTGGCATGACTAAAGTGAACAGCAGCTAACAATCTTCTAAAGCATTTCACACTGAGAAGTTCATTAGAGACTGTAGTGATAGGACAAGGGGTAACGGGTTAAAACTTAAACAGGGGAAGTTTAGGTTGGATATAAGCAGGAAATTCCTTCCTGTTAGGGTGGTGAGGCAGTGGAATGGGTTGCCCAGGGAGGTTGTGAATGCTCCATCCCTGGCAGTGTTCAAGGCCAGGCTGGACGAGGCCTTGGTATGATTTAGCGTAAGGTGTCCCTGCCCACGGCAGGGGGTTGGAACTAGATGATCTTAAGGTCCTTTACAACACTAACTACTCTATGATTCTATGATACTTTACAAAAATGAACTTGTATGAAAAATCCACTGCTATGAGGCCCATACAGAAGTACCACAAAATTTGAGTTCTTCAACATATAACAGCCTAGGTCTTCACAACTTTTAAAAAAATCTGATATGCATAACATAATTTGAGTGCTTTGAATAAGTAAGTTTGATATATCACTAAAGACGAATAGTAACACATCCCCAGAAGTGATCAGCATTAGTAAAAGATAAATGTACAAAGAATGTGTTATATGATCTCTACTCCTCTCATAATTTCCAAGTTTCACAATTCTCATAGCATCAGTAACCAAAGCATCAAAACTGTCTTAATGTGTGCAGAAAACCCTTTGTTCTCTAAACTAAGAGGTTCTGCTTTGATGTACAATTCTTTATGTATGCCAAATATGCTCAAAGCAAGAAGCACTTCAAGCCACGCTATACGGGTTACACAATTAACATCAGAATCCCTTACATCAGGATGAGAGAAAAAGGGCTGGCAACTCATTTTGAAATCTATGCCCAGCACATCCTCTGAATTATTTTATTTTTTTACAAATAAAAATATATTACCATCCAGAAGTCATGGTCACGACGAGAGCTGCTCCCTGAGCATAACATCAAACAGGGCTAACAACTCGCAAGAACTGAATGGTCCAGAAAAGAGCAGAAGGGTCAGTAATACTCAGCTCAGTGACAGATTATTGGCAAAGAACAGCAGCTTGGAAACTAGAGCACAACTCCCTAAGAATCACAGGATGGTTTGGGTTGGAAAGGACCTTAAGATCACTTAGTTCCAACCCCCCTGATATGTGCAGGGATACCTCCCACTAGACCAGGCTGTTCAAGGCCCTCTCCAACCTGTCCTTGAGATGTTAAACAGCATTTGTTTAACCGAAAGGCAAGAAAAAAAAAGGCAACTAAGCTAAGTGGTACATCTTCAGCAATCCTGTCTCTCTCAGAGAATTGCTTCTGGTCAGTGGACACATCGCAGCTCAAGCCACAGCTACACAACTGCTAAGTAAGCATTTTAAGGAAAAGACAAGCAGCTTAAAAAAAATCCACATAAGAAACAACAGCAATATAAAACAAGGCCAAACAAACAAAAATCCACAATGTTTAAAAATCCCTAACAGCTGCTTTATTCAACATAGGAAACGTTCACACATCCCCAATTCTGTATCATTTAAGGGGTTTTGATACTCCAGTTAAGCAGCTTTGGGAGAATCTCAAGTGATGTTTATTCAGCACTCCAAAGAATGACAGGGGGAACAAAAATGGAAAGAGTTAAGATATGAGAAACTACTTTTTGACAGTTAAGTTGCCAAAAATCGAAGCAGGAAAGCATGAAGGATTAATGCTAAACAGGAACTGCTGAACACCGCATTGAAAACAACTTCTTACAGCACATGTTTAGCCGCTGAATGAGTTTTTGAAAATACTCAAGAAAACTGATTATTTATGTCAATAAAAGAGCTATTCTTTTTAGAATTTATAGTTATGGTACTGCCTGTGAAAACTCATTAACTTTACAAATCTCCTGAGTGTCTTTAGCTTCACAAATCTAACTTTGTACTATATTTTAGCCATGTTCCATGCAATTTTTTAAAATGTTCTTCTGGTTAAAATAATCTTGTATTTCCTTTTAGCACTTAAAAAAAATAAATTTATATATACTCCAGAAAAACTTAACCCAAATAACCTTCATCGTATCCAAAGAGAAAGCATTTTCACATGTAATCATTTTTAATCTCATGTTTTATACTGTAAATGTCTTTGAAATAGAAAGTAATCAGTATTTTCACCACCAGAGATGACACATACTAAATACTATACTTCAGTTTCCTCTGTTGAGATCCCTTACACCGCTCAATAGTGAGCAATATGCACAAAATCATAATTAAGTTTATTACAAAGCATGTAATGCTACAAGTGCTTAGCAGTTTGATCACTGGATTTTTACATCCAAGGCTATTCACTATTCCTGTACTCTTCAGTACAATCAGACTTCTGACATACTAATGAATATTTATATAAGAAATCAGGAGGTCTTCATTCAATTGCAAATACATTCCCATACTCTCAACTGAACCAAGTACCTTTACAGGTTCTTCCACAGTGTTACTGCAGTTATTGCAGTTTCAGAATATTTACATATTCTGAAATATCAAGACTCAGATAGGACTATCACTGGTTACACAATACATTTTTAAAGCCTTCAGGAAAACAAGCGGACATTTTATCCTCACATTTTAAATGGAAAAAATCAGAATGCATTTAAGGCAATCTTTTTGACCACTGGGTGCCACTCTTGTTCTGTGTGAAAGAAACGGCCTGGCATTAATTGTCTTCGCCATCTTTCCACCCCCCCACCACACAGTTTTAATTAATTCTGATTCTTCTGAAGTGGAAGGAAAAGACGAAAGAATTTTGACACTACTTTCCAAAATCCTTTACTATTGTTTCCAGCCCCAAGAATGCAATTTTGAGAGAAACCTAGTGCACAAAGACCCTTATGGTATATGAAGGATTTTTTAAATGGTGAGGTTATGTCTAAATCACCACATCCAAAGGAATAGGGATCTGCTGTAATTGCTTAGTGCTGTATTGTCATGGCTACTAACAGCTTCATACTGAGTCTGCAAGGCCTCAAGACTGAGGATGTAAGCAAGCGTAAGTTAAGTTTGCTGTCCAAGCTTTTCCTGACCTGCCTGAAATCTTTTATTTTTTAACTTGGTGCAGGTTTAACAGTAATTTTTATAACTGACCAGGTGTCTATAACTAACTTGGTTTACTTCTGTTGATCTCTGTATGGTACAACCATAGTTTTACACAAACAAGGAGTTATTCTATGTAGAATGAGATATTTATGACTAACACCATGAGGCAGTGTATAGAAATACAGGCCTGGTATAATAGCAGACACCTTGAGAAGTGGAAACACAGGATACGGCATACAAAAGTACAGTCATTTGTAGATAAGCTGTTAAAATTTCAGTTATATTAACAACAAATTCTTGTTTGAATGGTTAGGGTAGTTTCATCCTTGTCCATAAATTTTGAGTGTAACACTTCTGTGCACTTCATCTATCACATCAAATAATCATTGCGGGCATGCATACATTAGAGCCCTACTGTTCAACACCATTCCTTACATTTCATAGATGAGAACATGAGGTACAGACTAAGAAGTGCTCACAGGAACTAATAAAATGTAGGATGGAAATATGTGCTCATCAGTCCAGCTGAGAAAATGAGAAGGTAGAACAAGGCTATGGTAAACTTCATAATCCCATTATCCACTCCACCTGCATTTAAAAAGGTGCAGGTATCCTTCCACTGTACTGGGGCCCCAAGGTACTGCAGTCACAGAAGCAAATATTAGACCAAAAAATTCTCAGAAGTCATATAAAAAGTGTGTCTGATCAGGGAAATGCACCACATTATTTAAAGACCCAGGCTAACAACCCAAAGTTGCTATCATTATGCCTCCTTATCCTATCCTCCTATCCTATCCTTACTAAACAAATACTAAAATACAGACTTTCATGTGATACCATTTATTTAATCTGCAGGTCAAACAATACAACTAGAAACCACTTTTCCACTATAGGCTTTTACTTCAACAGATGACCTTTCCCACATCCCTGCCATTTTACTCTTCTTCTCTACAAGCTGTTTTGATAACAAAGAAAAATTACCTAAATAGTCCCAGTCTACGCACAACAGTACTATAAAGTCTTGTAAAATACCTGTATTCAGGGTGCCGACTTAGAGGATGATCATCCCTTGGCCACCTGTATCCTGATTCATCCTGGAAAATATACATGCAAAACAACTGTGTGACATGTATCTTAATATCAGATGTCAGGTACAGCCAAATGGTACTTATTTACTGCAAAACCAAAGCATTTAATGAGCTAAAAGAAAGTATTAGTCATTAACAATAAAATTCCTCTCTACCCCATTCCTCCTATTTTCTTTCTTTATCGATACTTGATGAGAACAACTTTGCAATGCTGTACAAAACAAAAACTACAAAAACTTCCAACTGCATACATAGGAATATAATAAATATATAGACATAGGAATACATAGAAACATATGCATATTTTTTAAATAAAAATTTCCTTACTGAAATGTAAATTATCACTAACATTTTGAAATCACAGAATTTCAAAGAGCTGGACTGAAGGAAGCAACAGAAATGACCTCTCAAAGGGACCATAAATTTTGTACTTAACTGTAGTTAATGAGGATAAAAAAAAGCGTTCAGCATCATGCCAGAATTATTGAAAGTGAACAACTGTGTGAATTAGAAGGACAGGGACACAATATTCAGCAAGTTGAGTGTGCAAGGACTTGTTAAATAGAAAGACTTTCCAATCATTCCTTTATTTGTCCAGGTAACTTTGCACTGCATTACTGACAGGACTTCCTGACATTTCGTTTTCCCAGTTCAGGCTCTGAGCTTCCCACAGAGTGAGACAAGGGCTCTTTTCTAAGTCAATAAAGTAGCTAGGAATCACAAGAAGCAGCAAACAGGAATTACCATACAATCACAAGAATTTTAGAAGTACAGTAACTGCAAAAAAGCACCAAGTATCAAAACCCGGATGTTTTTTCTATTAATTCTAATACGGTTTATGAGAACAGTAGTAACATCAATGCTCTGTCTGAAACAGTATTTTAACTGTTCCATATTCAAGCATTAACAAGAAGACAAATATCATAAACATGCAAGAAAAATCACCTTACGTACACCTCGATGTGGAGGGCCACTTCTTCGCTCATGGCCAAAACTGCGACCCTCTTCATAGTCTCTGTACTCAGCATGACCGTAATCATTATACCGACTGTAATTCCCTTCTCCAGGTCTTTCAAGCAGTGGTGGTTTCTTGGGCCCAACGTTTACTACTCTATGGTAATTATCCTAAATCGCAAACCAAACAAAATCATATTGCTTTTTATGGCTGGAGATCTGTAGTGAATGCGCAAAAGTAAAAACAAAATGTTATTTCCAAATATAGCACTATAATGATCTTGAAGCTGAAATAGCACAGGGGAGCAAGCAACATTAAAAATCATGCCAGTCTGGTGGTGGAATAATTAAATCTAATTGGAGAGCATTCAGATGTAATCCTAAAGCATTAAAAATTTCATTACAGAGGGCAAATGGTTTAAGTTTCTTTTCAAAGTTTAAAGCAGTAGCATCAGCTAATTTATTTTTCTAATCATTAGCTACATACGCTCCTCAGGGCCTTTTACATTAACTTAGGAATTCACTAGAAAGTACACCTGTAATGCCTGCAAAACAAAGAACCTGTTAAAAGTACTAACAATTTTCTTAATGTCAATAACATCCTCCACGCTATGGAGATTATAGAGAAGACAGTCCTTGCTTCACATTTACATGCTAACCTCAGTAGATAAGCACTTTCTCAACGCAATGTAGTAGGCGATCTGGTTCAAGTGACAAAGTTTTAACACTCAGTTTTTCTTTTAATGCAAGTCTTGTATAGCTTTTTGCTAGAATGCAAAATTAATTTATTGCATTTCCTTCAAATAAGATGTCATACACCATTTACCAATCATAGAAATCATACAATGCTTAGGGTTGGAATAATCATCTAGTTCCAACTCCTCTGCCATGGACAGGGACGCCTCACACTAGACCATGTCACCCAAGGCTCTGTCCAACCTGGCCCTGAATACTGGCAGGGATGGGGCATTTACCACTTCGTTGGGCAACCTCTTCCAGTGCCTCAACACCCTTAAAGAACTTCTTCCTTATATCTAACCTGAACTTCGCCTCTGTGAGTTTAATTAAACACAAATTGCACAGTTGCAAAAGAAACAAATTGAATTTTCTGGAACCAAATATTATACAAGCCAACTGCAAATAAAACATAAACAAAAACATGAATGTAAGATCTTATGTTTAATGTCTTTTTCCTCTAGTAAGATAATTTTTCTATGGCCCTTAAAAACAAAAGCTATAAATGCAGATGCATGAACTAACATGTGCAATTTGGATGGGGAGAAAGATACTTAAACTATTTTTTCTTTTTTTAACAGTGAAAGTCAAACTCTAATGCACCAAAGGTTTTTGTAGAAAAAGACATGAAATTCACAAACTACTAAATAGCATCATGCAAAAATTAGTTAGCTCTGAGTTCAGAGACCATCCCAACAAATTCACTAGAGGGCAATCCAAAGCCAGCCTACAGACGTTCTGATGCAAAGTACAGATTAGACACATTCATATGCAGCCACACTGCTTCATCTACCCTTGCCTCACTGAACATCCTCCATGTGTGTATTTTTTCTTAGTTTAGTGTCTCACAAAGAAGACATTCTCTGAAGTTAAAATTCAGATGCTCCATGCTTAAACGTTACCCAGAAGTCCCCATCACATAACTATACTGACATACAAAAGGCTAGTTACATGAAACCCCAAGGTGTACCCACTTACAGTTACTTGTGCTAAGCGCTTGCAATTTCATGCTGTTTAGCAGGATCTGAAAGCATGTGTTTCAAGTATAATCGATACTTGATATATAATTAGCACCCAGATTAGATTAGGACAACTCTCTTGCTCTCTCAAGTAAGATACCTCATTCTGTACCATTGTAATGCCCCAGGTCCAACATACTAACCTATCAGCAAATGCTAAGCACGTTCACACACTGAATAGATTAATTCCTCTTTACTTGTCTAGTCAAAATTAAGTCAGAGCTCTATACATGGACACAGATAAAATGGTACAGGCTTACAAGGACAGAAACTGCCTGCCAAATATTTTGAATCAGCAGAGCTGTATGAGAAGGAGCTTCATATCCACCTTTCAATAAAGCAGAGTGACACCACATCTTGGTTTGCCCATCTACTGAGGGTATAGTTTTGGTGCAGATGGATGGCACTGATAGTGATAAATGAGTGTATTCAGCTAGTCCCTCCATCCCCAGTTCCAAATGCATGTACTATAAAGTTAACATTGAACTATTGAGTTAATTCTCCCATCAAAATGAGCTTATAACATATTTTAAATTGTGAATTTTCATAACGTATATGCCATCATTATTCTCTGGACAGCTTGGAAGACTGCAAGAACTTAGAAATGTCACTGGTGCAGTGGTTAAATTAAATTATCAATGTGTTAGTCAAGTCAAACATTGATTATAAAAAAAAAATCTGTGAAAATATATTCTGTCTTTCCTTACATCCTATTGCTGATGATAAATATTTTGGAAAAGCAGCTAAATCCCCTATGCAAACTTATCTGATTTCCAGTTTGCTGAAAATGCAGAAATGTTGTTGTTGCCTGTAAAGAGAGTTAAAAACATCACAGAGAGGCTAAACACTAATACACTCAATAGAGAAGACTACATAATTAGTTACCAAGTTACCAACACTGGCATGCTTCCAAAACAACAAGCTGAATGTATGGTAGAGGGAACCCAGAAAGTATGCTAAATCAGCTGTGCTATTATTCCAACATTCAGAATTAAAAGAAAAGCCAGGAAATAGGCAGAGGTATCTGAAATTTTACTTTGCCAAATGTACATTGCACAGCATGCAAAGAGAAATACCAAAAAGTACTTTTAATGATCTATTTAAGGTGTAATAGCTCAAAAAAAATAAATCACTCAATGCTGGCACACTAAACCCTGGGATTTTCTAAAAGCATTCTAAAGTTATTCTACAGCACAGCAAGCACAGCTTCTGTAGTTGCTTTTACAAACATAACATAAAGTAGAAGTCTCCATGCCTATAAAGTAGATTTCCATCAACTCTCTTCTTGATAAGCATTTCCCTTATGATGCTCTAAAACACAATTTCTTTAGCAAGGGTATATTTTCAACATTTATTATAAACACTTCCTTCTGTACTTTAAGCATCATAATAAAAACTGCATCAGTGACAACAACAATACTGAACGTAGGCAGTCTACCATCTCACAGCACTTGAAAGACTTATTAACATAAATAAAAAGTCTAGGGAAAAATACAACATAGTATGGCCTTTGGTCCTCCAGAAGTTATTAAAAATCCTGTCTTTAATAACTGAAAGAATTACACATACAAAAAAAATCAATACATATATTCTAAAACATTTTCAACAGATTTGGAAAAAAAAGAAAAATCCCCCAAACCAAACAGACAAGTTTAACTTTGTAGGAAACCTATTACCTCTGTGTAAATGCATTTGCTAGATTGTTGGCTTAAATGAATGAAAAAAGAACGGATCTTGGGGTATACCAGGAACTTAAATATGCACATAAATCCAGCCCTTATGGTACAAGCCATGGTATAAAGATATGGTATAATGCTAAAGAAAAATGCTGCAGACTTACATTAGGATGCATCCTTGGAGGCAGACGTTCTCTTGGAACTCTTTCATAGTCATATCGCCCTTCAGACCACATTTCATCTCTTCGATATGACACTAAAGACAATAAAAATCCAATTAGCCAAAACCAGACTCATAATGAGCAGAAGAAAGGATAGTAAGCACAGAAATAAAGGTTCCTGGACTTCTCCCAGTATAATGTATTATTCACAAGCCCTGTACATAAACTTATTTTTCTAATTAACACTTTTAAAAGTGAGTCTATCTATTTACAGAAACTAATGAACTCACAGTACGTTCAAGAACAACCGAAAAACTGGAAATTAGTGTGATATAATCATGATAATTACAGGACTTAGGTACTATAAACAGCTCTATTGAAATATATGCACATTGCAAATACCAGGTGTACATATAAATTCATACACACATACCTTATAGCAATTTTGATATTGCTCTGCTAAAAATAGAGGACTTCTTTTTAGAAAGAGTTCAATTCCTATTTATTAGATTGAAGAATATCTACATTTTTATATAATATAATAACTTCAAATTATTTCATCATCTCAACCATCTGGACAGTGGTTAAAACACATCATCCAGTTAGTACAGAGCTCCATGTTTTAAATACATAAATGAAATGCATTCTTCACATGCAGATTTTTCCTGTTTTAAATTGGGAGCCAGCAGAACACAAAAATTCCTCTTTCCAGAAAAAGGTGTCTTTCAAAGTCAAGATAAGTAACTAAATACAGGTGGAAAAGAACCATTGCCATAAGAGATTCTAGTCATGCTCTGTTAGACAACACAAACTTGAATCATAGAATCATAGAATAGTTAGGGTTGGAAAGGACCTTAAGATCATCTAGTTCCAACCCCCCTGCCATGGGCAGGGACACCTCACACTAGACCATGTCACCCAAGGTTTTGTCCAGCCTGGCCTTGAACACTGCCAGGGATGAAGCATTCACAGCCTCCCTGGGAGACCTGACATCTTTCTGATTATTAAAAAGGTGACAAATTATATACCATACATCACTGAAAATAGGAAAGAAATTGCTAGAACTATATTTTTTGAAGTTTCCCTTCACAAAGGCAGTTCTAGGTATTAAAAATGATCAGTAAGAAAAAGAAACAGCAGGGCACATTCAGAAAGAGAAATAACATTATCTACTTTCACAGAAAAAAACGCCACTGGATATTGACTTACGAGGTTATATAAAAATGTTACTGCAGATGTTAAGAATCAACATGACACAAGGGTTTCTTTACTGTCAACAGAAGTAGCACTACCTCAGATATGTATTTTTGTGAGGGGGCAAAAAACCCCAAAACCCAAACCAAACCAAACCCCTCACATACTTACTTTTCTCTCAGTTTTAGTAACTCTGCTTCTGAATATCCATTCAATTATCTACAAACAATAAGAAAAGTTAGCAAAATATGCATATATATTCATAACTGCATATTTTTAAGTAAACCAGGCATTTAAAATCAAAATCTTTCAACTGCCCCTCATGATCTGTCTGAATTAGTACACAGTAACTCACTACACTCAACTAACAAAGGATATGAACTACTCAGCTGAACTCACAATATCAAAAATCTCACCATGACAAATTGTTATAGATACAGTATTTTCCTAATAAATTCCAGAGTTTTCTCTCCCTTTTATCATCTTTTAGTCACTACCTCAAGTCTCAGTTTTCCTTCCATTTGTTAGCAAAAGCTTTCGGAAAACACTGTAACTGCTTTCTTAAAAACACTCACAAAACAAGTAACATATTCACTTCATATTAACTTAACTATCTTTGAGTATCATTAAGGACAATAAAATAAGACTCAGCTGCATGTGATGAGAGGCTAATGAAAAGTCTTAAGAGAAGCTTTTCCTTTGGTAACAGTAAATTCTGATGAAGTAGCTTTTTCCTCAACTGTTGTAAGCCTTCATGATCAGAGATTTTGACCCTACCAGTGGTATAAATGAACCAGAGTACCTTCTTAAAACATTGTTCCATTTTATAACAGTCTTGACCTAAGTATGTTCCATAACCAAGATACCGCACTAGTCTGATGTAGCCATGGGTCTATAAATCAAAAACTGACTAAACCAGTTGAGTTTGGTTGATCCTGGTTTTGGTAGGATAAGAGCTAGAGGGTCTGCTGTCCCTGCCCTCTCTAGTAATTCTGAAACCACTGGTCATATTGCTATATTTGTTGGTCAGGCATATCCATCAGAAGCACCTTCCTGACACTTTCACAGTAAATGCCTCAACTTTTTTTCATTTAGCTTTTGTGAAAGTCTTAAAAATTCACATCAAGGGCTACATGTGCATTAACTGTTCTTAGGCCAACCCTGTGCCCCCCTCCTACATCACCAGAAGCGATGTGGGATATGGGGTGATATCACCCATATCACTCTATCCGCTTCCACACTGTCCCCACAGTCCTCTTTTCTTTGTACCTAGAATAGCACCTGGAAACTCCTGTGTGTTACATGTACCAGGGGCGGGGGACAGAATTAGCTGAAGCAAGACAAATCATTATGCTGGCACAGCATCATGTGCTCCTTCTCAAAACCTTTGCCACTGGTCCCTCATGCCCAAGCCTTGCCCCAAGGTGGACCATTCCTTCTGTCCATTCCTGCTCAGGGCTGGAGAGCACCTGAGCCTCCCCTGGAGCCCCCTGTCCCTCATATGCCCACAGACACTGGTATCTGAGGGCCAGCCTCACTCAGTTCTTAGACCAACAGCAAATATCCAAAGCTGGATTCAGCTAAGGTTTTCAAGTGGAGGTTTTTTTGGCATTTTTGATATATACAGTAGCGTCCATGCCCTGCTGCCTGCAGCAGCTACTTGAAATAGTTAATTGAATACAATAGTCAAAATGCAACATGCTTCAGGTAAGTGCTGCTGAAGCAAGTGCAAGCTTCCACATCCTGCTGCTCTGTCAGGCAAGCCACCTCCAATATCCCAACATACACCACCAGCAGCAGGCACCAGGCACTGACATTCATGTACACACTCTGTTATGTTATCAGGCAGCAAGGCTGGAAAAAAGCATTGCAAATACTCCCATTTTTATCACTGTTGACGCACCTCACTGAAACTAGCACGAATTATCACCGGTATTTTGACAAAACAAAAGCATAAGCTGGACATAAAGTAGAGATACACTATCAGAAAAGTCAACAGACTGAGGAAAAAGAATCACAATTGCACAGACAAGTAGTAAGCATGGAGGTGGAAAAAGAAAATAGCACAAGTGAGAATACTTTGCACTAAGAGGAGTGAAATGAAGAAAATTAACCAGAGAGAATCAACCATCAAGTACATTGCTCAAAATGCTGGTAAGGAAAAAAAGTAAGAGAAAACTAAACAGACAGGGATCAATGACATAAAGTAAGGATGCATTTGAAAATACCAAAAGAAAGAAAAAAACAGGTGAAAATTAATTTCCCAGGATCTTGAGCACATTTAATCTGTTTCTAAGGAAAAAAACTTTCAATTTCTTAAATGATGTGACCTAACCCAGCCTTAATAACAACAAAAAACCTGAACTCCTGAGTTTAATATGAGAAGATTCCATTAACCAGGTTTCAAGAGATCAAGCCTCAAGTTTACTATGCTGCATTCACATCCATCTGTTCCCACAGTAAAAAGCTCACAGTATCACAGTATGCTAGAGATTGGAAGGGACCTCAAAAGATCATCTACTCCAATCCCCCTGCCGGAGCAGGAACACCTAGATAAGGTTACACAGGAATGTGTCCAGGCGAGTTTTGAATGTCTCCAGGGAAGGAGACTCCACAACCTCCCTGGGCAGCCTGTTCCAGTGTTCCGTCACCCTCACTGAGAAGTTTCTTCTCAAGTTTAAGTGGAACCTCTTGTGTTCCAGTTTGTACCCATTACCCCTTGTCCTATCATTGTTTGCCACTGAGTAGAGCCTGGCTCCATCCTTGTGACACTCCCCCTTTATATATTTATAGACACTAATAAGGTCACCCCTCAGTCCCCTCTTCTCTAAACTATAGAGACCCAGCTCCCTCAGTCTTTCCCCATAAGGGAGATGCTCCACTCACTTAATCATCTTCGTTGCCCTGCGCTGGACTCTCCCCAGCAGGTCCCTGTCCTTCTTGAACTGAGGGGATTTTACAATTTTACAAGTTGTTTTACAATAAGGATTAAAAAACATTATATTTTTGTTTCACACCTAACACCACTGTCACTCATATTGACTATTTTCTATTAGCATACACAGCAAAGATAGTTGATATTTCTTTAATATAGTGACATGTAATCACTTGCTACATTAATTTAAACAACCTCTTCCTATTTTTGATAAGAGATGATGGTTTTCCCTAAAGCAAGGTCTTTATTTTCCTCAAATAAAGACACCCCAGCGTATGCAGCAGCCAATCTATTAACACAGCACAAACTACTCTGCTGTGGCCAGCTGCCAAGAATGGCTTTGCTCTGATTATCTCAGCAATATATCTTGTTCTGTGCTCTGTAACTGATGCAATACAAAAATGGGTTCTTCATCAAGCAGATTACACGGATCACTCAAATTTTAGATTTTTTTGCACAATTGGATCTTCTTTATCAATCATTTTTTATTTTTGTTTCCTAAATAATATATGCTAAAGAAAAATCTGACACATTTGCAAAAGCACTACAGTGTTCTGCAATATTTTGTTCACAATTCTTGTCTGTTCACACTTACTCAAGACATCAGTTTTCATCATGGCTAGAAACAGCTACTTCTCCAGGATTCGCAGTTTTCCAGTGTGTGCTATCAGCCTTCTGCAGATCCATATTTTTGTTTCAAAAACTCAGCTTTCTAATCCAGATGTTCACATCTTGCCACGTGTGAACAAAGCATAAAACCAATGCTGTGCTCTAAATGAAGGGGCAGGCAGCTGCCATATCTCTGATGCTACTGGGACATATCTGGCTTTATACTGTTATTTTGACAAATGTGGGCCAGCTCTGCCTCTCCTCTGCTTTGAAAAGCTCAGATGCTTTTGTATGAGTAAGGCATAGGAGAGATGCTCAGAGAATTGCAACTCCTTAGACATATCATGGACAATTTTGCAACAGTTACTGCTTTGAGGACAAAGGCAGAAAATACCATTCTTTCGTTCAACAATTAGAATCTCTGTTTAATAATGCTTACAAAGATATCCCAGTATCTCTTACCCAGACAGGAAGCAAGACACAAAACTGAGTTTGGAGGAACAAAAAGGTAACTTTTTCCTCCCCCCATACTTGGGACAGGCAGAAAACACTGAAGAGACATACGTCTCTTTTGATAAGATGAAAAAGCAGAAGTGTAAGAGCAAAGGGAGAAATCCACCATGACAGTACATAAAATACTCTGAGGGAGGCACTGAAAAAAAAAACAGGAATACAAAGAGAATCCATCTCTTTCTAATAATAAACGTTAGGCTCTAAGATTTTCAAAAGCAATTAGAAGCATGACTGCAATGAATCTAGGTGTATTCAACCTAGATATGAAATAGCTTGAAGGAAGAGGCTTTTTCCCAACCTTTCCTGACCCGTTCACAAGAATTTGACTTAAAATACAACAAAGAAAAAAAAAAGGGGGGGGGGAGGAAAAAAATATTTAAAGAAGCACTGACCAAAAAAGTCAAATTAACTCCCACCTCAAAAGGGGAAAAAAGCCAGAAATGTGTAAACTGAGTGAAATCGTCAGCAGCAGCAGCACTCTGATAAGGATTTACAATCCCACTGGTTCAGTGTTCTTACCACATCCTTCTAATGTATTACTGAGAGCAAAAGAAATGGAGACAATGAGTTGGGGGTTATATTAATACAATGACTGATGTATTAGTGTTTATCTTTACCTGAACACCTGCAGTTACCAACGTCCCATCCTTCATAAGTGTCAGTGCTACCCAAAGAATATTCTGCCAGGCTGCAATAGGACTGCTACGCTAGCAACGTCCATGCAAACAACTGCATGGATCACTGCCTTCAACGTGACTTTCCATCTTGCAGGACACACATTTTTACAAAAAAATATGTCAGTTCACCATACTGTTGCCATGACAGATCAAAACTGCAATGCTTTCTACATTTACTCTTGGAAGTACCAAGAATATACTCTGAATATTTCACCCAAATAATAGTATTGAACTCTACTCACCGCTTGCACACATTCGGTCAGTTTCCACGTCCTTCTGTGTCCTTCTGACAGAGACTTTGTTCCCTTGAAGTCCCAGACACCTCAGATAAAGAATTGTTAAGACTACCCATGAAAACACTAATGCAGGGCAAAGAGAAATGTGGATGAGAATGAAGAACCATGGAAAGCACACTGATAGTGTTTAGATACTAATAAAGGCTTTAAATCTACTACAGATGCCCTGTTTTTAAGCTGTGTGTAACGACTTATTCTAGCAGTTCTAAGGAAATATGCTGAGTGACATACTTATGTCTTGTTTATCCTTCTAGAAACATAAAGACACTGACCCTGCACCCTCATACCCACAAGACACCTCACTGGAAGCATTTACAACGTGGTTTATACAGCCTCCAAACATTCGTTACCAGTTATTAAAGTTTAAATTAACTCTCAGGCGTACACACAAGTGGGATCATCCTTCCCTTCAAAGAAAAACCACAAATTAAACTGAAAACCAAAATCACTTGTGGGTTTAAGAAAGGGTGAAGAGATAACGTTTACAAAAGCCATTCCCGTTGGCACGCCGCAACCCCCGCCCCTGGGCGGTTTTCCTTCCCGGTTCCTCCCCCACCCCGTCCCGCCACTTCACGCACCCACCCTTCCCAGAGACACAGAGGAATAAGGAACCGGGGCGGGCAGCCGGACGCAGCTCCCGAAGTCCCCTCGGGGCCGCCCCCCCAGCCCCAGGAGCGGCCTTACCGACGCTTCCGCGACTACCCGAGCACGTGTCCGCAGCGCGACAGCGGGGAACGGGGAGGAACAGGCCCCCGGGCGCGCCCCGCAACGCCTCACAGGGCAGCCGGGCGGCAAACCGCTGCCAGGGACCGGGCGCCCACGTTGAGCACAGCAAAATGTCACGTTCACTCCACGAAAGAGGGAGGTCAGGCAGCAGCTCCGAAGCACCGAGCACGGACCGCGACCCCGGCACCCCGCTCACCCGCCTCTCCCTCCCGCGGCGCGGCACGCAGCTCCCTTCGCTAGCGCCGCACCTCTCCCGCCGCTTCCGGCGCTCCCCCGACGTCATCGGAAACATCCTCGTCCCTTCCACCATTGCCGTCGCCTATTGGGTGGGTGTTGCGCTGGGCGTCCCCGTCATCGGAAGAGTGCCGTCGTGCCGAGGGGGCGGTTGGAGCGGCGGTGGTGCGGGAGGGTGCGTCGCGTCCTGTTGTCGTCTCGGCCGGTATCGCGTCTCACCATGGCTGCCCGTGCGGGGTGAGCCCCGCCGTGACGGGTAGGCCGGGGCCGGAGCTGCGCCGGGGACCGCCACCCCTTGAGGGGAACAGGCGGGGAAGCCGGTGCGCGAGGGAACCCCGGCACGCTCTCGCTGTGGTTCGGTGGTGGCCGGAGCGAGGGCCACCTCGCGAGGGCCGGAGCGAGGTGGGCGGCTGGAGCGGTTGTTTGCAGCCGGGGAGGTTGTGGGGTTGTGGCGATCTGCGCGGGCCTATGAGGATGCCGGAGAGGGACTCTTCATCAGGGACTGCAGCAATAGGACAAGGGGTAATGGGTTCAAACTTAAGAGGGGAAGTTCAGGTTAGATATATGGAAGAAATTCTTTACTGTGAGGGTGGTGAGGCACTGGAATGGGTTGCCCAAGAAAGTTGTGAATGCTCCATCCCTGGCAGTGTTCAGGGCCAGGTCGGGCAGAGCCTTGGGTGACTTGGTTTAGTGTGAGGTGTCCCTGCCCATGGCAGCTGGGTTGGAACTGGATGATCTTAAGGTCCTTTCCAATCCTAACCGTTCTATGATTCTCTTTGATTCTATTGGCCCTGTACTATTTAAGTAACTATGTAAAATTTAAAAAAAAATTGTGCTCCTATAGCTTACTACATGCCCCTTGTGCAGGACAGAGTTGTAGCAAGTGGTTAATACCCTTCTCTGTGACCAGAGAGAACATCAGTTTGAACTCCTCATTTATCACAGGTTTTTGATATAAGCTTGAGCCAAGTTCCCACCACAACTAATGGTTGTTGATGTGGGTCTGAACTCTGTTGATGCTCTTGTATTGGGGAAAAGCAAAATGTTTTGATTTTAAGGATCAAAATAGAACTCAAATTAGTCAGCCTGACAGAGCATGATGATTTGTGAGTCACTTTAATTGACTAAATCACTAATATGGCCTTGCTGCTGTGCACTTAAAAACACACACAAACAGAAGTTCATGCTTAAGTTGCAGTGTTGATGAAAGCATCAGTAAATTCACTTGATGCTTCAGAGGCATCTGAACTATTTTGTTGGTATCCTTCTGTGTTCTGGGACAGAGTAGAAAAGCCGTTACTGAAAGGAGTCATTGTCTTCTCTTGTGATGCTTTCAACATGAGTGACAGATACTGCATTAAACATATTGGATTCAAGCAAAACATACTCATGTACCCAAAGTATTTTCCAGGAGTCTAAATCATTACTGACAGATGGCTCCTGTTAAAAAATGGTTTCTTTGAGTTGTTACAAAAGACAGAAAAAGATGACTTCAAGAAGTCTTTGTAATGAGAGATGGCTCTATCCTGAAAGTTAATATATAAAAATGATGAATGAAGAAAACATTAATACTATAGAGAGGCTATTACATCAATGGGAGTTGTGCTCAACCCCATGGAGCCAATGTATAGGCTTCCAGCTCATGCTTTAAAGTTAAGCAGCCAGGTATACCCTGAAGATCAGAGAGGTCCCATAACAGCATTCACTACAAAACAGAAATGTTTTGGTTTGTTGGAGAGTTCTAGCAAGGTATAGAAGCCAGGTTGTGCATGACTCTCAGGGGAGTCCCCTGCAGCAAGTAGAAAGCTCAGATGTTTTTTTTTTGGGTGGAGGGAAGGGGGTATTTTTTTCAGCCTGGGAAGTGAAAACCTACAGAGCAGAGAGACTGGTGATCAAGCAGAAAGAATGTGATGAAAATGTTGAAATTGTATTGGGCAGTTCTATGAAATTATAAAGTTCCTGAAGTATGAGGTCTCTGAGCCTTGTAATGATGAGGCTGCAAATGAGATGTGTCCCATCTAGACAGTCAGCTTAAAGCTGAAACTAGCAGGTTTTATTCCCCCCTTTGCCTGCCCCCCAGCTGGAAAACAGACCAGTCAATATGAAGCTGGTCTGGCAAGGCTGGCATCCATAAATAAAGGGAAGGAGGAGCTATTGTTCATATGGTGTTTGCACTTGGTATCCCCAGAGGGGCTTCATGGTGGTTTAAAAGACTGATGGATTGGTTATAGCAGAGTAAAAATTAGCATGTGATGTTTTAAGTTTTCTCATGGTGGGAAGAATTGTGCCAGTGGTTGAATCTAAAATCACATTTATACTACTGTATTCACAACAGTTAACCAGAAATCTGCATGTTTACATGCTCAAGCTGTTTGAGAGATTGGTTTTGGTAGAATATTGTTTTTGAATGTTCTGCAGAAGAGCTAGTAAGGAAGACCAGGCTTTTAAGTAGACAGATGAATCACCCAGATGTTACCACTGGGTAAACCTGTCAGTATCTGCTGGGTTAAATAAAATTTTTATGAACTATCCCAATGACTCCTTAATATTTGGAAAAGAAAGTCCTCCTGCAGATCTGTGGAAGTATTCTTTCCTGGAGTACTAAATGTAATCCTTTACCATCTTGAACATGACCATGGTGATGCCCTTACAGTTACTGTACTTCCTCTTTTATTAAAATTGTGCCTGCTTGGCAAGTCAGACATTACAAGTAAGAAATCCTGGCACAGTAGTCCTAAACAATAAGAATTGTTAAGAATATTTGGGCAGTTGAAGGAGGCAAGACTGTTTCACTTGTATTTGTCCAGGGTACTAGAAACAAAGCTCTGCCTCAGCTGTCTGGCAGCCAGCACTCCAGGGTGCCACGCTCTCAGCTTGCTTCTGAAGAAAGTAGTGTGCAGCTGAAAATGGCAGTTCTGTAGCTTGCATTCATTAATAATTTCCTATCGACTAAGCTGTTAGACCTATAGTAGTCTTCATGTGACATATCATATTCTCTTCAGAGGGTTGCACTGTAATGGTGTGGAATATGTAAGCTGACTGCTCTCCAGTCATGCCATTCTCACTGGCATCTGTTCATTAGTAAGGTGCTTGTTTCATCTCCTGTTACAAGGTGCTCTAGCTTCTCTTGTCTTTTAGGCAGAGTTAAATTGCTGTCTACTGCCACATGAGGTTCACCTCTGCTGTTTTCTCCTCTGCTGTAGCAATATATTAGCATTTGCAATATACCACAATGCAGAGCTAAGGTAGCTCTTACTGAATCTTTTGTATCCACTGTACATCTGGATAACTGCACTTCAGGCCATCTATTCACATGGCACGTTGCCAAGTCAGTCTGGTTAGGCTTGTCAAGGATACTAATGCCAAGCAGCAAGGAATCTGGAATAATGAATCTACCCTGCGTAACACCAGATGCAGTGTGTGGCCTTTTACGGCAAATTTATTCTATTTTCATTTGCTTAACCTTTATGTTGCCATTTCTGCTCATGCCAAAAAAAAACAATCTCTGGACATGGAAAACCTCAAAATTCAGTCACTTGTAAACTGCCACTCAAATGAATTGCAATACAGTAAGCATGTCAGGAAAGAGAAGGAAAACATTTGGATAATCAGTGTCTACTGGGAATATCACATCTTCAGATGACTGAATCATGAAATACCAGAAAATAACCGCAGCCAGATTAGAGTGTGATACTAGTTATTTTGTTGGCACTTGGCCAGGCAGTCTGTTCAGACTCACTATCAAAACATCCCCCTAAGAAACTGTGTACTGTGACAGATGTTGATTTTTAATACTTTAGTTTCTTTTATCTCTTCATCAGCTTTTGTCTTCATTTTTTAAATGAGGTGGTCTTGCTGAAGAAATGGCTTGATCCTCAGGAATTGGCTAGAGGTGCCAAGAAGCAGGAATAAGGCTGCAGGAAACTGGATAAGGAGATAATAATTGGACTGCATAGGGAACGTGTTTGGTGTGCTCTCTCTCAAGGACTGTGCTTTATTCTGATCTTGAATTTTGCTTCTTGAATTGAGCCATGACTACAAAACAGATCAAAGGGAAAAGAAACGTTTTGCACAGACTTTAGCACCACTTAAAATTTTGGGAAATGTCCAAACACAAGAAAAAACATGGGCTGTTCTTTTTCAAGTTGCTTCAGTTACTCTTCACCTAGCGTTAGATGATGTGTATGCAGTTATAACAGTGTTTTGAATTGATTCATTGTTTCCAGACACAGTTTCAAGAGGTTGAAAGACATTGGAAATGAAAATGGCTTTGCGATTTCCCTGGTTCCTTGGTGCAGGGCAACTGCTTGATCGGGAGGAGGAGGTGGTGGGGGGAATGTCTCTAGGGGATGTGCTGTGATCAGCTCTGGACACTTGCAGTTCCTGAGCAAGAGATACAAGAGGAAATGCATGCTGCTTTAGCATCTTACTACATTGACTTTGAAATGTATCTATCTTCCCCACTCCTACCCTCAATAATTAGGCCTCTGCTTTAGGGAAGCTTCCCCCCACTCGACCCTTAACCAATTGTGATTTATTCTTTCTTGAATGCAGCTGAACTGAAACTTGTATAAAGAATCAGATCATGAAGGTACTTGAACAAAGGTCAATTATTTCCTATATTTG